ACTCATATCATTGTGGGAAAATTCTACAACCAGTCCTTCATCACCTTAGACGAAATAGGGTGAATACATCATCACACTGATTTACTGGTAGTCTCGAAACCCTACTCTTATACAGATACCACGAATGTTTAGCAGGCAATTGGTCAAAGGATAAGCTTCACTTGTCTCTGGTACGACTTGTAGTGTAGTGTTAGGATTGGCAAGGTTCACTGACGATGCCGGCGAAACGTCTTGGAATGTACCTTGTCCGCGATCCGACTCAGAAAATTATCATGCATACTATCAACTTCCGAATAGGTGTGTTTCTCAAGGTCTTCCTACCAATATGACCAAGTAGCAAAAACAAGATCAAACAACTTGTATATATCTAAAGGATACTTATCATAACGAAATGCTACACCATCTTGGTCTTCATACATTCGATTAAGCCTATTATTCTTTTAGTAAAGGTACATTCTTACACGAGTAAAACAGGCGACCTCTATCTTATTTTTAAAGAGCAAAGCCACAGGCATAAATTTGGTAGACACTAACTATGATTATAACTTTAGGAAAAGTGGTTTCGGATATACAATCACAATGTACGAAAACTAATTGACAACTTAAGTCCGAAAAGTCCTAATCAGCGAATGGCCAGAAGAAAAGTGGAAAAGTCAAAATCCTTAGATAGCTCAGACTATAGTGGATGAAAAGATCAAAGTATACTGAAAAACTAAGAGAATTAAAAACCCGAATTTGCACCCATTGCAGAAATAATAAAGTCAGTAATAACAAAAGAAATTATGTACAGGAAAGTTTAAAATAAAAAAGCTATCAATATGTACAACTAGTCATTTCTTCTAAAATAATTCGTAATGCGATTCAAGGTGGCCGGGCTCTGGTTGGCTGTATGTGAGCGACGCGAAGGCTAAAAATGTTAAATAACATTAATTATTACACGATAGAATGTAATAATATTCAATCTTTGTTGTATACAACTTAAGAACTCGGAAAATATGGCGTAAACGTTATAAATCAATGCTGAAAGAGGAACATTCAACTAGAGCAAAGTCAAGTGGTAATAAGAGCTATAACATGAAATTAAGATATTAAGAGTAGAGCCATACTATCGCCGGATGAACAATTGAAAAACATCTATTTTTAAAAAAACACGAAAACTGGAATGGAATCATAAAAAGGACAGACGATATGAACTTCAAATTAATCAAATTCCTTAAGTAATATAGAATCGCTATGGCTAGCTTTTAATAAGGTGGTTGTGTATATGACTAGGAGGGGCTAACGCGTTACGGTAAGTAAAGTCAATGAAGTCACGTACCATGACTTCACATTGGAAGGAAAGCAGAAGTTTATGAATATGGCCAGTATAAAAAGGCGAACGTTCTACAAATTCGTTATGGAGACAAGCCGCAATAAACCTTAGAAAGGGCACGTTCAACACCAAAAATGTATTGCTCTCCGTATTATGCATATGACGTGTATATGGATATATGCTAGACTCCAACGGCTCAGTTAAACATAAATAGAAATAAATATTTGTTTGGTCGAGTAAAAAAACTAATTTAGACAGATGTAACTAAACTTTGGCCAATCGTGTATTTATTTATTCCATGCTTATTTGATACTTGGCAACTGATTTTCCCACCAGATTATCGCTTAAGGTGAAGCGTACTTGGTATAAGGTTGAATTTGTCAATAATAGACACCGAATATAAATGATAATGAGTGGCATAAAAAATTTACGCGCAAACACGAAAAATCAATGGAGATATTTTTTCAGGATAGGGTCTTTAGGGAAAGTTTAAATTTTCTTAGATGCTCCAACTCTAATAAGTAATGACCTCCTTCTAGGTCTTCCTGTCAATATGATCAAGTTGTGCAGACAAGGTCAAATAATTACTATACAACGAAATGATACCGCAGCCATACAAAAACCACACCATCTTGGTCTGCATGTCTTCGAAAAACTTCTTTATTCATCCTCAATCAGATCAACAATAGTAGTTACCACTTGAAAGTTGTTGACAAATCTGATTATCAAATGTTTGCCTTTTTGTGAATAAAAAGGTATACATCTCACTTAAGTAAATCTAACGAGAAGAATACCGAACAAATTGGAATGCCCTTTACAACCAAAAGGTCACCATGATGCAATTTTTCATGCTCATTTTCAAATTGAGTTATTATTCAAGATCTTATAGTCTCTAGACATTTATTCGGTATAAAGTAATGTATATTGTAAGAAAGAAAATTGCCTCACAATCTCACTATAAAAGTGGTGTGACCTCGTTTTTTCAACTGTCGTATCTTTACAGATCTATATGAACTAATCTTCCTCTCCGATGCTGGCGAAAAGTTTGGGAACAAACCAAGTCCACAGTTCGATGCAGAAAATTATCATGGCTACTATGGTAGAGTACTCTGAACAAGGCGTACTCAATTATTGTCATAAATAATAGAGCAACAAAGATAGTGATTTATAATTTGAAATTAAAATGGTCACCTAAATTAAAAAGCGGAATAAATTTAATTAATTTTAGATTTGGCCAACTTGCCCTGGGAGTTGTCGGCAGACGAGCCGGTGATGCATTAGCGCTTAATGATACTAATCGGCGCTCAACGTGAGTACGTCCGATAACCGTGCATCGGCGTTTCGGGCAGAATGGCATCGGTGAGATTTCTGCGAACTGGCCAGCTCGAAGGGGGGTGTTTTCGTCGGCAACACAAAGACCAGCATTACTATCACCTCCTGTGGAAAACTGAGAGGGCAAATTCTGTCGCCGCGACTCGATGAGTCGATCATCTACTGATGAAGAAAGAATATCGCACATTTCTGTGTCAACAGCGGCGACTGCTGCATGATGAAACTGAGCGTGCTGAGTGGCAGGAGAACAAGTAGAAGTGAAGGCTGCCGAGTCGTCAGTTCGAGCTAAAGTGGAAGTGTTATTGTCAATTGCTTCCTCACATGCCAAACTATGTCTAACCCAGGCTCCAGAGTGTAACTGACGATCAGAGAGTGGTGATGCCGGAAGCACATGTCCAGTAAATTGGGCGCCAGATAAATTGGATCTATACATTTGTGCGGCTGAAAAGTTAGAGGATAACGCCTGTGGAGGGGATTCAAAACCATGCAAGGGACGGAAACGCTTTCGAGGACGATGGATGAGCAGAGAATCTACCTCCTGTAGGAAGAAAGTAATTGAGGAAAAAATGATAATTTGAAATAATCATGTTTGTATGCTTTATACATAATTATGGGTGCTCTTATAAATAGTTTTGATTTCATAGTTAAGGTATTAACGCTTAAAGACTAATAGCAGTAAATATCC